CAAGCACCAAACGTCATCCCGCGCAATGCGGTTCCTTCCATCCATGGTTTCGCCCCAACAAATCAATTAACATATCCACCAAGGCAAAAAGTGACCCCCCCCCCCCCCCCCACACACACACACCCAACCCAATAGCACACGCGTGCCCTCCAAATACAAATACACTGCTGCTGCTGCTGCTGCTGCTGCCTATCAGCGGCGAAAAGCACATTGTCGTCTTCCCAAACACATGCACACACAGTGCAGCAAAACAAGTGTCCATGCACACACAACCCGAAGGCGACCGATCAACCCATGTTTGCCAGGTCGTAAATATGCTCGTCAGTGCTGCTGTTGTTTGAAATGCCTGCAGGCAACGGCGCCTCGGCGCTGAGCAGCGGAGGGATGTACGAGTACGTGGACGATGGCGACACGTCCTCGTAATTGACACATCCGCGCGTGTAGTACTGCTCACTCCCATCATCGTCCTCGCTGAGGTCTGTGGCGGTTGTGGTGGTGGATGTGGATGAGCTGGATGCGAGGTCGTACGTGTTGTCCTGGTGGGGCAGACCCCGTCCAAACGGCCGCTGCGATGGGCGCATGGACCCTGATGGTGGTGATGACGATGATGACGATGACAATGCAGAGGGTGGTGGGTTGTGTTGCTGGGTGCGATGATTGTGATGTCTGTGTTTGCGTTCATGCCGCTGACGATGGCGTTGCTGTTGGTGCTGGTGTTGGTGCTGTTGGTGTTGCGTGTAGTCCTCATCATACGACAGCAGCATTGTGGCGTCATCGTAGTCACTGTCGTGGCTGTTGCCGCGGACATACCCGTGCTCGTGGCAATGAGATGGCGGCCGTGGCGGCGGCGGCGGTGGTGGTGGTCGAGACACGTTGTCGTAGTCAGCGTCACCATCATTTGAACTGCAAAATGGTGTGCTTCCCGCACCATATCCCTCTGCACTCACGGGCGGCAAATACCCTGGTGCCCGTCCATGGGCAACGTAGCAAGACTCGTGTTGTCGCTGTTGTTGCTGCTGTTGTCGATGTTGCTGCTGCATACTGAGGGAGAGTGGCACGAGGTACGTGTGCGATGGCCGCCCAGCGAGCGCAATCGTCTCAGCACCACCATTGTTGCCCGCGGCGCGAAGAGGCAGCACGGCGTCTTCCGCGCTCGTGTCGTTGCTGTTCGGTGGTGATATGTCAGGTTGTGAAGAGAACAGAACCAGAACAGTCAATGTGAGATGGGTTGGGATTGAGGTGCAACAAGATGTGTTTGCTTCTTGTCCGCACTCTTGCTTGTGTTGCTCACTTGCTTGTTTACCTGCATGTTTGCATGCACAACACCGCCGCCAGCGCACATCACAGTAGCAGCTGTGCACCGCCCCTACTGACCTGGACAAGTAGATGTCGGCGTCCTCGTAGATGTGTGTGGAGCGACGTGGTGGCCTGGGTCAAGACGCAGACACACAGCGTGAGGACGCACGAGCGTAAAGTCACGTAGGACGCGGAGGAAGCGTGAACGCGTGGCAGTCATGTTGACTTGACCCTCGACACACACACACACACACACACACACACACACACACACACACACACACACGCACGCACGCACGCACGCACGCACACACACACACACACACACACACACACACACACACACACACACACACACACACACACACACACACACACACACACACACCGCCTGTGGGTTGATGCTGGTCGGGGTGTGAGTGGTGGCCGGTCGACAGGTGCGAGGTAGAGCGAAGTGCTGCGGCGTTTTGGCTGCGGACGCTGCTGCCCATCGTGAGGGTGGAGGCGGTCGTGCTGGTGTGCAGTGGCACTTGCATATGTGTGCGGCGAGTGCACGTTGTGGATGGGGTGCACGTTGCCGTCATCGCTGTGCTCCGAGGAAGTGAAGATGATGCTGTTGGTTGGGGTGCTCAATGCCACCGCCGCCGCCATGGCCTGCGTCGACACATCCTGGTCTCCACGCGCACGGCCATTCAGACCACTTGTCGACGTGGCGTTGTTCGTCAGCACGGGCGACACGGTGGATGTTGCTGCTGCGCGTGTGCTGTTGTGTTCGCTGCGGTCGGAGGGCGGCGGTGTATCCATGCCCATCACCGCAATTGTGGTTGCAGGCAGGTCTGCAGCGTGGGAGAGGTTGGCATGTGCATGTGAGTGTTGCGCGTCGCCGCTCTCCGCCTGCACCAGCTGGTGTTCGTCGCGGTATTTCTCGCTGTTGCCTCGGCGGCTGGAAGTGGTGACGGCCTCAAGATGTGGTGACGTGTCAAATCGAGCACTCCCGCCCCTCTGCGCACCGCCGCAGCCCTGCGCAATCAGCAGCTGTGTGCCCGTTGCACACATGCATGCGTGTGTGTGTGTGTGTGTGTGTGTGTGTGTGTGTGTGTGTGTGTGTGTGTGTGTGTGTGTATGTGTGTGTATGTGTGTGTGTGAAGGTGTGTGTGTGTGTGTGTGCGTGTGTTTGTTGGTGTGAGAGGGTGAAGATGTGCAGTGAATGAGAAGGTGTGGAGTAGATGAGGGGGTCAGAGGGTCTAAACAGCGATGAAACGGCAGTATGCAAACGCGTCCAACATGCACGCATGCATGCAAGCACGTGATGACCGCATAATGTGCAGGCTTACCCCCGTGATGAGGACGCCGACACAGAACAGCACCGCTGATGAAGAGAAGCAAGATCGATCAAGTGGATGGGGTTTACAAATGTGTGAGATGGTGGAAACATGTTCACACATGTGTGCATGCAATTGCTTGGACATCGACTGCAATCCACAACACCCACACACGTGTCGCGTCACACAGCAAAACCAATGATGCAAGACACCAGCGTGAATGACGCAACAAGACAAAGCAGTGGTGTGAAGCATCACGCACCGATGAATGCGATGAGGAGCGTGGCGGTCATGGACAGGCCCGCGTCGCTGTTGGACGACGGGTTGATGTTGGTGCCGTTGTCCGTCGTCGAGACCGCTGGTGTTGTGGAGACCATCATCCCTGGGAAAGTTGCCGTGGTGGGTTCAGGTGTTGATTCGTGCGACGCTGCACTGCTGGAGGTCGTCGAGAGCGATGGTCGATGGGATGTAGACTCACCAATAATCGATGGCTGTGGCGTTTTGGTTGTTATTGTCTCAGTTGTTGTAGTTGTTGTCTCAGTTGTAGTAGTTGTTGTAGTTGTTGTTGTTGTAGTTGTTGTTGTTGTTGTTGTTGTTGTTGTTGTAGTTGTTGTTGTTGTTGTTGTTGTTGTTGTTGTTGTTGTTGTAGTTGTTGTTGTAGTTGTTGTTGTTGTTGTTGTTGTTGTTGTTGTTGTTGTCTCGTGCCTGCTGACGACAAACGAGAAGATGAAGCTAGTTTTGTCGAGGTAGTACCATCACTGCTGCTGAACGTGGCTGTCGTAGTGCCAGCTGTGCTTGTTGTCGTCGTCACGGCTGTGGTTGTCGTTGTCAGTGTTTGGCCCAGCAGCCAGCCCGCTGCGTCGATTGGCTTTGCGCCCCCGAGGTCATCGAAAAAGAGCGTATTGTCCTCAGGGACCAGCGCCGTGAGTGTCTGCTGCCCGTCGCTCAGCTGCCGCCGTGCGCGGTTATGGGGCGGCAGCGACAGCATGAGCACCTGGAGGCGACGCAGTGCAATGAGGTCGGCGACTGTGGCCAGCACTTGCTCAGACTCGCGCGTTGTCCCCGACGACAACAGCACCAGCGTTGTTGCTGACAGGTCCTGCTTGTCTGCATGCATGAATGCAGGCGGTGTAACGAACGGGGCATCGCGCATGGTGGGCGTCAGCGTCGAAAGTATACTTATCCGCACATGAAGCACCCCACTTGCAACACATACGCACGCAGGCACGCATGCACACACACACACATGCACACCAACACATACATGCACGTACCTTGGAAGTGGGCGATGACACCGACGACGGCTGCGCCCATGCCGCGTGTGCTCGGTGAATCGGGGAGGGTGGTGAAGGTTGACGCCGAGGCGCGGGCATCTGCTGTCATGGTGCCTCGCGTGACCACTTGTGTGGTGGAGTAGGTTGCTGCCATTGCACTTGCCCATCCGACACGCACACAGAGTTGGTGTATGAAACGAGACAGTGTGAGTGTCACACGAGCACATGAGTAACACGAACTAAGCAAGCGCACGTACAGAGAGCACAGAGAGAGAGAGAGAGAGACATGCACACGCATACACACACCTCAGGTCGCGATCGTGGGCAGCAATCTTGAACACCACTTGGCGGGCAAACTGAAGTACACACACACGCACGCACACAACACACAACACACGCCACAAAGGTACACATGAACATGACAGGGAGTAGAGGTTGATGAGCATTCTTCAGAGACAAGGACAGAAGAGCTCAATCGCGTTGCTTGTTTGTTGATGCACGCACGCAAAGGAACAAACAGCTGCTGAGGATGCAAAGCGCATACCTTTGTGACTTGCTTCCATGTGCCCCGGTCTTGGAGTTCATACTGGGTGTAGAGTGGGTCGACGATGAAGAGCAGCTTTCGGTCTGTTGCCGTCGCCGTAGCAAGTGTGGTAATGGTGGACAGCAGCACTGCCAGACACAGCGCTATCGCCACCGTTGTGCCTCTACTGCCTGTCGACAGGACCATCTTGCCTGGCAAGCGAGGCTGTCGTTGTGGATGGTCGTTGTAGCTGTGGTGGTGGTTGTGGATGGTGTCGTGGCTGACGTTGACGCTTCAGTCCTTCACCTGTGAAGAAGCACCGGCCTCGCTTTTTTGTGGTTGTGGCTATGGCCAAGCCAACGACTGGACGTGCTGGCTGCGGCGGTGTCTGTGCTGGGGATGTAAATGGCAAATGACGCGGCAAACGCGGTGTCTTGCAACGCTGTGTTGAATTGCGAAGCGTGTGTACGTAGTAGGCTGCCTGCCTCAAGTCACTTGCTGTGCTGCTTGCTTGCGCGTGTGCGGCGTGTGTGTGTGTGTGTGTGTGAGTGCGCCATCCCGTTCCCAGACACTGCTGTTGTGCCACCAACCAATGCCATGTTTGCACGTTGCGCTCAGTGTGCATTCGAACGTCATCGTCTTCAACGGATTTCAAACACACCGACTTTGGCCCAACCAATGCTGGATCTTTCCTGACGGCGTTTTGTCGCGTTTTGTCGCGTTGGGTCGCGTTTTTCCGCATTTAACCTTCAAGATTGGGTACATGGTTCCATGCACAATTAATTGGACCTTTTCGTGGTGTTTTGATTTGCGCGAGAGCGAAACTGCGACAATGGCCATGGTGTCGGTGGTGGTAGTGTTGGTGTTGGTGGTGGTGGTGTTGGTGGTGGTGGTGGGGGATGGGGTGAAGGCGGACATCTCCAAGCACATGACGGAGCTTGCCGCCATTGCAGAGGAGCACCTTCGATCCAAGCACTCCATGTTTGACAGCAACTTTGACCGTAAGTCGGGTGAATGGATGTTCTTGTGTGTGTGTGTGTGTGTGTGTGTGTGTGTGTGTGTGTGTGTGTGTGTGTGTGTGTGTGCTTGTGTGTGTGTGTGTGTGTGTGTGTGTGTGCGCGCGCGCGCGTGTGCGCTTGTGTAGGTGTGTGTGTGTGTGTGTGTGCGTGTGCGCTTGTGTGTGTGTGTGTGTGTGTGCTTGTGTGGGTGTGTGTGTGTGAGTGAGTTTGCAGAACTACCTCTCTCTCTCTCTGCGTATATGTGTGTGTGTGCTGTGAACCCTGTTCTCGCGCGCTTGTGCGCTACCAAGGCATGCAGCGCTCACCTCTCCAACTCCCCCCCCCCGCCCGGCTCCGGCATGGCGTACAGTGAAAGCGGCGTTCAAACTGCACGACTACAATGATGACGACCACTTGGACATGAAGGAGGCCAGCTTCTTCTACGAGGATGATTTCCTCACCAAGAAACAGCTGAAAGAGCAGCTGAAGGCGGTGTGTGTGTGTGTGTGTGTGTGTGTGTGTGTGTGTGTGTGTGTGTGTGTGTGTCTTTGTGTGTCTGTGTGTGTCTGTTTGTTTGTCTGCCTGTCTGTGTGTGTGTGTGTATCCCCCTGCTATTGCGTTTGCAGTAGGCACAACCCCAACCTTACCTTGTCGTCACGTCCCCCCCACACACGCACAGGTGTTTCAAACCATGGACATGGACAAGGACGGCCTGCTGTCGTACAAGGAGTTTAAGCGCTTCTACAAGAACGTCATCCACAACAAACCCTTGATGCCCGAGCTGACGGACGAATCGCCCAAACACGCCAACAAGCAGCAGCAGAAGAAGAGGGAGAGCACGAGGACCAGCAGCAGCAGCAGCAGCAAGGAAAAGAAGCAGGGCACGCGCAGGCACTAACGCGACCGCTTGTGTCGCGCCCATACCTTGCTTGGTTATTGCTCTTATCACGACAACACCTGCCCCTCTCCCTGTTTACACCTCAACACACGGCCTAGTTGACATTGTTACATTCACGTTGCATGCGTTTGCAGTGGCCTGCCATCATGGGCTTGTCTAATGAAACCTCAAACAGGAAGAGAGATGAAAGAATGGGCGGAGACTGGAGGTGCTGGCAGAGTGCTACGTCGCACATCAACGGGGAGGTAATGGTCCTGGCCAACAGTTCAGAACACGAGCATGGTGGATAGGGAAGGAAGAGAATGGTTGAACAAGAGAGACAGAGAGTCGGAGAGGGGGGACGGAGAGTACACAGAGTCTGAGAGGGAGAGAGAGAGTGTGTGAGTGAGTGTGTGTGTGTGTGTGTGTGTGTGTGTGTGTGTGTGTGTGTGTGTGTGTGTGTGTGTGTGTGTGTGTGTGTGTGTGTGTGTGGGTTCGGAGTGGGACCTCGAGGACTGCTCCGGGTGGACTGGCGTCGGCGCGCTTTCTCGATATAAGTCGTCTGGATGAAGAGCGCGTCGGAGTGTAGGAGGGAGTAGAAAAAATTATGTCGGGGGGTAACATTTTTGAGGTATATGGGTTTTTTTTCGACACTTCATTTAATTCTGTCTCTAGTTTATACTTTTATCTCGGTTATTATTTAAGAGTAGTAGCCTATACCATCCCCCCAGCTTTTGATCTATAGATTTGCTTT